AACTCATGTTTGTGGAAGGCTTAGAATAAGGAACATCATCTTCCACAGGACTCAAACTTAGCTGATGTTTGGACACAGTTTAAGTTAGGAAGATAAATTTGGGGTTACAAAGCTAATGCTGAATGGAGTTTCCAAAAAATTTTCAAGTTTGTAACTAATCGTTCAATGGGGATCATTTCTGGAAGCATAAATGAATGTCATTGTTTTTAAAGGAGAGGGCCTGGGCCTGGGGCTCAGTTGATAGAGTGCTTACCCAGCAGGTGCAAGGCCCTGGGATAGATCCCCAGGACTGCATAAAATTGGACATGGAGGCACACACCTATGTTCACAGGTAGAGACAGGAAGCCTAAGATCGTCCTCAGCCACATAGTGAGTTTGACGCTAACCTGACAGAAATTATGCCTTGTCTTGAAAAACTTTTTTTTTCTCTAGAAACAAAGGTTTAAGACCTGCTTTCCTGACTCTGCAGACTTTGCTAGGTTAGCAGGAAGGGGGATAGACTGCCATTCTAGTCCATAGATCCAAACAGGGCTGAACTGAGAAGGGAGAGGCCCAGATGCTGAAGACCCCGTGTGTAAAGTCGAGGAACAGGGACAAAGAGATGAGCCACTCTACTCACAGCATGAGGAAAGGAATGAACTAAGATGGGAAGGCAGAAAAACCTCAGAGTTCATCCCCAGTGATACACATCCTCCAGCAAGGCTAAACCTTCTTAGACTCCTCACACAGTGCGCCAGAGCCTATGGAGAATGTTCTCATTCAAACCACCACTGGCTGGGAGAAGAGGAGTAAGAGGACAGTAGTAAACTGAATAGCTGAGTACATTTTGCTATGAAGACAGCTGAAGGAACTGGGAAGTGAAGAGAACTTAGAATAAGGTCTTATGCCTAGTAAGGCTGATATGCACTTGTTAAATGAAGTAAATAGAATCTGTACACACCCATCAAGACAGTCTCAGCTAATCTGGCCAGGCAGAGAAAAGGAAAGGCGCTGACTTTAATAGCAATAGATAGTGCTATCCCCAGATTGTAAAGGCTAATCCACTATTACCCTGACTTAGAGGCCCAGAGTTGTAGTTACATTAGTGATAAATACTAATTCTTTTGTGTGTGTGTGTGTGTGTGTGTGTGTGTGTGTGTGTGTGTGTGTGT